ACCTCTCTCCCACCATGTGCACTCTTGGTGAGATTGCCAGTCAAGGTGCTCCATTTTCTCAGGGCAATGGGCAGGATGCCTGACCCAAGCTCAGTCCATCATACTCTATCTTTTGGGGAGGAACATGGGGATAAGAATAAGTTGGACTAAATTTGTCAGAGGGCATCATCCATTAGCTTCTGCCACATTGATTCCCAAGTTCTCACAAGTTCCATCATTCAAATCTTGCTTGGTCAACCCTTCCTTGGATTCTGTGAGTCACTCTATCACCAAGGCAACAAGGTCCTTTTACGGTTATGTTGGCAGAGTCAGTGTCTGCCACTTGCTACCAAAGAGTCCTAATGACCCACTACTGCTAAATAATCTTAAAGATCTGTCCCTTGACCCCCTTCCCTTTTATTTCCAGTGGAACTATCAGTAGTGGAATGCCATTTTGCAACATTCTCTCCATGTACATTATCACTCATCCTAATATCAACAATGCAGAGATAGTATTATTATTTTTACTTTATTACTGTTACAAAGGAGGCACAGAGAAGCTAAGCAACTTGCCCAAGTTCAAACAGCCAGTGAAGAACATAAACAATATTCCAACAAGTCTAATTGCTAACTTCAACCAGTAAGTGAAATTTTTGGGAGTCAAGATCATTTCTCTAACGCAGTTTTCTTTCCTTTCTTTCTTTTTTTTGTTTTTTTGGTTGTAAACTGAAAGAAGCACAATTTATATCACAACTGTGCCTACATACATACACAAAGAACGGAAACAAAGGTTTCGCAAGGCAATAGTCATCCTTACTGATGCAATATGCTCTAATTTTTTATTCAAAATGATTTTACTTTTCAAATTCTACTTGCACTCACTAGGTTGATATTGACGTTCCGACCCACTATCATATCTGACATGCAGTTTTGCATACCCTGCTCTGTTGAGAAAGCTGCTTAAAATGACACCAGTTTGCATGTCCGAGTGTTTGTAAAAAGAGGCAAGGCCACGCTTGATCTGTTAAGCCTCCCAGTAGTGATTTGTTTACTTGCACAGTGTGTGTTTCCTAGGCCACACCAGCCTGAGGGGAAGACTGGGATCATAACCAGGCACATGCTGTTCCTTTCTCACTCTGCTTTCAACAGCTCTTCCAGAACCACCAGAAACCCCCAGCCGAGGACCCCCTTCCAGTCTTTCTGAGGATGCCTAGGGAACATTGTACATGTGCTCCCAAACATCGTACCTTGTCCCTCATTTTCCTTCTCTTCTGCCCTGCCTCCCTGCTGGGATCCTGTCCCAGTTCCTTTGATGTCTGCAGGGCTGTCACTGCTGCTGAGCCACCAAGGCTGAGCTGCTCCTGGTGAAAAATTCCGTGACTTTAGTCTGATCCCAGGCCTGGACAGGAGCATTGTTTGTCTTATCTCTTCAGCAGCTCCTGGTGCCACCATTGCAAAGTGCATAGTTGCTTACAGCACCTCCATACCATGCAACGGTGCCCACCACACTAGAGAGAACTCCCACTTTGGTACAGGAAAGATTTCTCTTACTTTCTTCTAACTTACGTGCACTTAAGGGCAATAGACTGATATAAGTCTTCATCCTGTATTCACAACCATCTTAATCTTCTCCAGCTCTGGACCTTGTCCTTGGGCCAAGCATCGGTGCTCCTGCTCTCACCCAAACTGGTGAGATTTCTTTTTTCCAGGAGGCAACTTGTTTCCTTCCCAAGGTTAGACCCTTGACAAGGCCACAGTGTGTCATCCTGCTCAGAAGTGCCTTCTTCCCAAAGTGAATATACGCTTCAGCTAACCCCATTTTCATTTGAGAGCTTTGCTTCCCAGGTCCCAGGAGTCACATGTTCAGAATTCAAGTCCTGTTGCAACCATGATGAGAATGATGGTGATGATGGTGGTGATGATGATGATGATGATGGATCTTTCACACGTATCAGACTGCACAAGAAGCACTTTTAGATTCATTATCGTGTTTAATTTTTAATAACTCTACGTGATACACACTATTATCCTCATTTTACAGAGGAGAAAATTGTGACTTAGGAAGGTTAAATCGGCCCATGGTCACATGGCTGGCAAATTGCAGAGCTCAGCTACTCCTCTACAGCTCAGACTGGGCATTGAGCCTGCCTCAGCTGGGCATCCTGGCTTCCCTGGGCCTCCTTCCAACTCTGCTTTAATCCTTTCCAATCCCCTCTCCCCAGGGTCCCCATTCTGATCCACAGGTGGGTGGCCACACCTTATTTGAAGGCCTCCAAGATGGTGGAAACCCCTAAGCTTCCACCTCCTGCTTCCATCTCTGCACTTCCTGGGGCTTCCTGGAGGGGCAGGATGGGAAGCATTATCAGCAATAGGGCCTCCTCTTCAGGCTCTCAAGACTTCAGTGTAGCAACCTGCCTTCATCTCCCCAGGTCCCTCCTCCCCAAAAGGTCGCCAGCATCCTGCATTACATGGTGAAATTTTGCCTGACATTAGTGGGTGTTTTTAATTGAATAAAGAATTCAAGTCTGGGTTTTAAATGCCATAGAAAAAAAAAGTTACTGTCTTTTCAGAATGCCCATTGTAATTTGCCCTTAGAGTTTCTCCTCCCCACCCCTCCCTTCCCCAATGGTCCTTCTCCCCCTTGAACTGACAAACTGAACCGCCAGATAAATACAGCTGCAAACTGAACAGTGTGTGTATGACTTCTTCCCCTCATTCATCTGCCTTCCTGGCTTTACCAAGTCAAAAGAAAAAGGCAGCTCACCCCTTCCTTGGCTGTGCCTTCATAGCACAAAGCCAACAGCTAGTCAAGCAGTCTTCATGATTTGCAGCATTTGAAAGTGAAACGTAGAGAGTGACTTAGCCCGATCAATTCCATCAGTTATTTTAGCCAAGTTTCTGCCATTGGGTCTCGCCCCATGCAGGGTGGTGGCCTCTGTGTGGTCTCTCCACACCTCAGTTTCTCCATCTGTAATATGTAAGGATCGAATCCAAGATCTTTGAGGTCCCTGAAGCTTCTCGGGGTCTTCATTTTGTAGTTAAACAACACATCATTTACAAGTTAGATGATTTAGGGGGTGACTTTGAATAAAAACGATCCTCCATAAAACTTTTACCGCACAATTATTTTATGGAGCAAGTTTCCCCTGGGCACTTGAAGCAGGGTTCAATTTACAAAAACCTGACTTGCAGCCAACTTTTAAGTGACACTTACTGTTTAAAGTAAGGCTTGCCCAGAGGTCACAGTTTCTAAAAACACTGTCCTCCATTCCCTCCTCCACAGAGTCCTTGTCGGTGAAGCATTCGTAGAACACACTTTCAAATCATGACTTCTCTTGAATGAAGAGGTCTTCTGTTTCCCTTCTGTAAAGAAAAACACCACACAGTATTTACAATCCCACAAAAACTGGTTTAGTGATAATAACCTACTGGTCATTTTGTAACACAAACCAGGTAATATCACCCCTCTGCCTGATTCTGCAGAGGCGTGCCATTGCTCTGCAGATCGCGAGCTGGACTTTATGTCTGCTGTTCATTCTAGCCGGAGTGTTCTCACCAACCCTCTCTGTCATTCCTCCTTACCTCGGAACTCAGCTCAATCAATGCTTCTTCAGGGAATGGGCCCCTGACTTCCTTGACTAGGTCAGATCTCTTTATTAGAGCTGCAAGGTGCAACTGGAATTTTATTTGGCTGAGCATGACCGTGAATGGACTGTACACTCGCTGCTGCTGGCATAGTCATCCGGGTTGCCCACTACATGCACAATGCTACACAGGCCCTGGGTTCCTAGAGGGTCTCTAACTTCATGGACCTTGCAGTTTTCTGGGGTAAACAGACAGTTACCAAATTTGAGAATGCACATGAATGCCACCGTCCCCTGCAAAGAGCTTAGAGAACTGAACAAGTGATTGAAGTTAGCATGGGACTGGCTGCATGAGCAGAAGGGTAGAATGGCAACACTTTCAGCTCTGATGCAGAATGAGGTTATGTCAAAATCACTCATTTGCTCAAGCAGTCCTTTTAATACTTACAGTCTAAGAAGCTAGAGGAGAGAGGAACATGGCCTGATATCCCAGGCTGGCCACACCAAGTTGAAGGATGGCCGCCTTCACTACGGTGAGATAACCAGGTCTGTTTTCCTCCTCTTCCTCCATCCCAAGAGTCTTCCTAATCTCTTGGACTAAACCACCCCACCCCAAGGACAGGGCCTCTTGATTGCTTCTTTAAATGAATTTTCTTTTCCAAGGGCCCACCCTCTCCTCTCAAGTACATGAGTAACATAGTCTATCATTTTCATTTAATTCCAGAATGTCTCTGCTATCATCCCCATTTTACAGACAGGAGAGTAGATTGAGCGAGTTCACAGCAGACCTGGGTTCTCAAAGCCAGGTGTCTGGTTCTTAGTCCAGCATTTCCCCCACCATGTCACAGCCTCCGGGCTGAGCCAGGCATTTTTCAAAGCCCAGGAAGCTAGAGTTGGCCGCCTCCTGCTGGCAGGGAGTCCCTTCCAGGCTTCTGGTGCTACTGCCAAAGCAGGGAGGGTGGGAGAATCAGAGGAGAGTAGATTATACACAGAGAGGTCTGCACTTCTGTTTCCCTTCCTTGTCGAGGAAGGAGGGAATGCATTACATGGGGGATGCAGGGGGATAGGAAAAGCAATCATTCATGACAGTTAATAAGCGTCAGAAAACTATTTACTCACATTTATCCCCTGAAAGTCACATTCTTCATCTGCTCTGATTTGTCTTTCCCTGATGGCATCAGCCAGGTGGGCTCAGCAAGAAACAGCGAAAGGTTTTAGCCAATGTTGCAGAAAGAGTTTCATTTAACTTCATTTTTTTTTTTTTCCAGCCAGAGCTGGCTCCAAAGCTAGTTTTTCTTACTAGGTTGTTTGCTACATGCAAAGCCGATTCCCAGAGGTTTCTGAGATTGCCGACATCCCATGCAACATGACTGCTCCCACCCACGCGCCCACCCACTCACTAATAAGACATAATGCCGTCCTATTTTTGGTAACAATTAAAGGGCCTCCCGGTGAAAGCAGAAAGCTGTTTATTTTCTGTGACATCACTTCGCTTTGCCTTCGAAGGCTGGTCTGTGCTCAGTGTTTTCCTGGTGATGCAGTCGGCTCTCTGCTCCAGCAGTTGGATCCCTCCCATCTCACAGTACCTCACAGGTCTCTTCCCCCGAGCAGTGCATTGCTGGAGCGAGGAGAAGCTCACGAATCAGCTGCAGGTCCCTGTTTTGAAAAAGCAGAGATACAGAGGCAGAGGAAAAAGGGTGGACTCCTATGTGACCTGTTCTTAGAGCACGACAATCACCATCTGAATTCCAGAAGCCCTGTTCATGGTTGGGGATATTTTCTCGACTGCATGGAATCAGAAAGAAGCAAAAGGATGGGAAATGCCTGCATTCCCCTGAAAAGAATTGCTTATTTCCTATGTCTCTTATCTGCGCTTTTGCTGACAGAGGGGAAGAAACCAGCGAAGCCAAAATGCCCTGCCGTGTGTACTTGTACCAAAGATAATGCTTTATGTGAGAATGCCAGATCCATTCCACGCACCGTTCCTCCTGATGTTACCTCATTGTAAGGCCCGTAAGCATTTTGATATCTAATTTACAATTTAAAAATTCCAGCCGGTGGATTTGGGGCTTTGCATGTATTCGTAGAAGGGCATGGAGAGAGAGAGATTCCTCTTGCATGCTTGGCCATTTGACAGTGCTAACATTTGCTGCATTTAGAATTTTTGATTTTTTTTTTTAACTGCTACTGAACATGCTTAGATCCCCCCAGCCCTGAACATTATCATGAGAAACCTGTAGCCGATTCATTTCTCTGACTTCATCTGGGAAGGAATAGTATTGTACTTCATAAAATAGTGTCAAAATCGTCACTGTTATGCTAAACCGGATTAACCTAAGGTTTGTTCTGTGTGTGTGTGTCTCTTTGTGTGTGTCTGTTTGTTTGTTTTGTTTTTTGTTTTCTTTCAGATCCTTTGTGAGATCTGGTTTTACTGAAATCTCAGAAGGGAGTTTTTTATTCACACCATCGCTGCAGCTCTTGTGAGAAATATTTATATCATGACTATTTTTAATATGGCATATATTTGGATAAGCCTTCTAGTAAAATGATCTTAATATTAATTTTGTCAAATGTGATTCTATTTCTGAAAAAAAAAAAACAAAAACAAAAACAAAAACAAAAAAAAACCAGTATCAGTACAGTGAGAGGTAGATGGGTTTGTTTGCGACTTCACACTAACAGTGCAGGTTGATTCTTACAGTGGTAAATTTGGTAACCTGTCGAGCTGTCTACTCTCATGGCTATTTATGAAGTTGTCAGAATGTTGCAACAATGATCCCAATTCCATTCCACTATTTTACTTTCATTTTTAACTTGGGAACTTTGGTTCTTTTGCCCTGGAGTTTTTGAATTAGTCAATACAGAGCCCAGCATAACATATGCGCTCAAGATGTTGTATCCTGGGGATCTGGGGCAGGCTGCTACTCTGTATGATTTACCATGTGGGGGAAAAAAAACGCCTCTGTTCTTTCTAGGTAATTCCTTAAAATATCAATTCTCAAGAGATTGTTTTTTAATCTCATCTAATTTATAACTAGTTCCCTTCCAAGGAGGGAAAGAAAATATCAATATAGGATACTGCAAAGGATTACTCTCTGCTATGTGTTTTGAGTTGGCCACAAGGGAACCACATATTCAGTCTATGCCTGAAAATATTCACAAAAATAATATTTGACTAAGAAATCAGATCTGTTCACAGGCATAATGGAACATGTATAATTTGTTTTGATGTGTAACATTTGGCTATTGGAGTCCTGGTTCTTACAGCAGCATCACGTGGGGGTCGAGAGGTCTCCCAGGACTCAGGTATCAGGCAGCAGACTTGGTTTGTAGCTGGACAGATATGGGCAGAACTAGCCAATTGTGGATCGTCTGAGTCTTGGCTATCTTAACGGCATGATTCAGGACCCAAGGCTTTCACTTGTTTGTTTTTTAGTCTTTTGGTTTTCTTGCCTTACTTGGCTGTTTTGGCTGTTTGAAGTTACATACACAGGCAAACAGCATGGAGTTGCCATTGGAGAGACAAGTGTTTAAACCTCACCCTGACACTGATAGAACCCAAACATGTAGTCTTGAGCAGTTTACTAAATCTCACTGAGCCTCAGTCTCCTTATCTGTAAAATGGAAGTAAGAACACATACTTCCAAGGCTTAAGTAGGTAAAACACTTGGCATAGGGTATGGCGAATGCTTACACATTTTATAAATGGCAGGGTTTTAAAATTTTACATCAAGCTAAAAAGCTAAAAGTCACTGAATCTATTGTTTTGTCCAAATGAAATCCTTGAACTGGTTTGACTGTTTCATTGAATTCACAAACTTGATCAGATGTTTTAACATTATGTAATGATGTTGGCTAATGTTCTTCTCCTGGCTGATGTCTTCAAATGATTAACAATTGACTAGATATTCCTAAGATGTTTATCTATTTGATTGATAGCTAGTGGTGTGATTGAGGAAAGTGTTAGTTAGTACATCAAACAAATCCAAAAAAGATAGATTCTTTTCCACAGAAAGGGGCAGAGTCTCTAATGCTAGGGTCCTTCCATAGGACCTATGGAAATTTGCTGCCTCTAAGAAAGTGATAAATTGTGCTTATGGTGTCACTTGTTAAATAAATGGCTCATTTAAAAAGCATCCTTTTGATATGCTAAGGCACCTCCCTTCCCCTAGGATAGTTAAATAGATCAGTCCTTAAAATTCAAGGAGTAGTGTCAGTCAACACTAGATGGACATTAGCTGTGGCACAGAAAGCCTGGAGTAATTAACTCAATCAGTTACCACATCTCCACTTTGTTTTTGTTGAGTGGACCCAGTCACGGCAAGCACAGATGCTGGACAATGTTATAGAAATAGTTACCGGCTGCTGCAGGGTAATGTGATTACACGTATTTAGAATCACAGAGGGAAGCCAAGGGACCGGTTTTTAAATAGCCCAACCGAGTGTGTGCCATGCCGGTGTCCCATGCTCCGAGTTCCTATGGAACATTCCAGCCTTTATTTCTAAAAGCAGTTCAGATTTCAGAAATAACAAAAGGCGAGTAATTCTTGCCCTGTTTGTTCTCAGCTAACTGAGATGGGCTAATCTCAACATGATAGACTTGTGCCAGTGCTGATATTATGCAAAATTGTCAAGGGTCAGAGTTTGTCCCTTATCTCCAGGACCCTGTTCCTAAAGACTCTGTTCTCCATCCTTCCTGCCCAGTGTTCTCTGCTTCCTCTTATCCTCATGAAAAGGTCTAATAAACTCATGTGCACTGAGTAGGAAATAAATGAGAAGGCTCTGAATCTGAACTATGACATGATCATAACAATTGTGGGAATGCATGGATCACAGACAGAAAGGCCTCTTCTGTGAGATAGGGCTGTCCAGTACCATGAGAACACCACATGGGCTGCCAGTCCCCCATTGGAACATGAAGACCAGGGGCATTGGACCACCAGATTAGGCCTAGATGGCACAAGTCTTTGAGGTTTGCAATGAATTCCAGCAGCATTTGTGATTGTGAATTACCACACTCACCCATCATACCCTGTGAAGGAATAAATTTCAGAATCCATTCGGCTTGATTGATGTAGGAAGACAGTTAGTTGGTTTCTTGCTTTGTTGCTGGGAAGGGTTAAAGCAAATGTCCTATTTCCATCATCCACCCTAAAAATCTGATAATGTCGTTATGCCCCAGATGCTTTTTCGGAGCTTCTGCAAAAGCCATGATGAGAAGTACTTGTTGAAATGTCAGTCTGGGGTTCTGAGGAAAACAGACATGGTATCTTAAGTTACATGCAATGTTTGGGAAAAGATCCTGGTAGGCCGCAGCTGGCAGTTTGTGTTGGAGAACAAGAAAAAGAAAACCCCACACTGTAGAGAAGAGAGAGAAAAAATAAAATTATTCAATAAAAATTCATCAGATTAGTTGTAAAATACATTTTTAAAAAAAATCTCACTCATGGTTTTAAATATAACAAAAACAACCTTTCCCAAGCAAATGCAGTTTCATTCATGTTTTACATAGGGCCAGTTCTGAAACATAATCAATGACAACGGTTATGCATTCTAGCTTGCTTTTAGTAATAGAAAGTGGTACTTTTAGTGAATGTAATTTAGAGAAATGTGTTTTCACACATTACAGCCCTGTTCCATCTCAACTACAGACTGAAATTCCCAGTGATACGGGCTGATGTTGGAAGTGAAATTCAAATTTAAGAGGACAAAATGTGGCCATGTTGCCACCCATTTATAATATATTTTAATGAACGAAACCCCTGTAATTGCTGAGAGTTCTATTTTCAGGGAGTGATTTCCAGGATAGTTTTAGTAACATGTTCAAACAACACAACACAAAACAAAACACTGCATGTAAGAATTGGATGGGACCAGAAAAAATTTCTTCGTATTTTAATGGGAATTATTCTTGTTTGAAACACAGAATTGACCTTTCAGCATCAAAGGAGGGGAATAGCATTATTTTAAAAATTAATCCACAATCAACACATAAATACATGATCCGTAAGAAATGAAAAACTAAAAACAAATGGAAAAGCAAAAGACATGAGCAAAAGAAGGAGTAAGTCCATCCTTAGTAAGGATGGACTTACCATTTAGTCCTTCAAAATATAATTTGTCCAGGAAAAATACTCATGGCCTCCTTTACCTTTCAAGCAATTGCTACCTTTTTGTATTCCTCCTTGTATTACAAGCTTACAATTTAGCAGTCTTCAGTGACCACTCAAGCCAGACCTATCAGCCAAGAATGCTTTTGGAGGAATTATTAGCTGATTATAGATGAGTATGTTTTGGTTTGTACCCAGCTGATGCCCCCATGATGAACCAAAAAGCAAAAATTGCAGTCGTCTAGGCTGTTTTGTCTATAGTTTGCCCAGTGATCCATAAATCTCATCTTTTACTTTTTAGTAAATTACTTCTTTTTGTTTTTACTTTCCTAAAAATAATTTGAACTTTTACTTTAGATCCAAGTTTCCATGTATAGGTTTGTTACTTGAAGTGAATTAATTCTCATAACTGCACAAACTAGTGCTTACCACAAATGTTTTCTCTGAAAGCATATTTCATCCTTTCGGTTATTTAGGCAATAAAACTTCAGAGCTACCTTCTCTTTCACTATCCACTTCCACCTGGACAAGTATCCTGTCCAACAGCATGAGAATCTGCCTCCTCCTCTTCACCACAGCATCACTGCCTTAACTGAGGCTGCATTTCATTCACTATTTCACAGGCTGTGACAGGAGCTTCCACGCCTCCCTCTCTGCTTTCAGTTCCCATGCGACCCATCTCCATTAGCGCTGCCTTTCCTGAGACACAGCTCTCCATGCTTTCATACTCCCTAGAAACAGAGAAAGCCCAGACACCTGAGCTGGCATCCAAAGCATTTGTTCTTTTCTATTTGTCCAGAGTTATCACTCACACCATTGACTCTACACACACACACACACACACACACACACACGCCCAAACAAGTTCCATTCAGATCACTGCAGGATCTCATTCTGTGACCTCTGTTGATTCTCAAAATTCTCTAGACTTTACTGATGTCTCTGGTACTGTGTGCCATTTGTTAGAACTACAGTGTTTGTATCTGCCTTGTGTCTTTCATGGAGAATCACCAATAAGCTGTGGCCCCAGACATGGCTTCCCATATATTTGTTGAATCCAGTTTACGTTTCCATAGATTTTGTGCTGAAGACTCCTGTGTTCCTCTCAGCAGATAGTGCTGGTTATGTTCACACTCTTTCTGATGTTTGGTGCACCCTCTCTGAGTTCACGTGAACTAATGGTGTGGAGGTCTGGGAAGTGAGCTGAATTAAAATAATGCAAGGAGATATTTGCTCATGAAGTTATGAATTCAAACTTCCTCAGCAGAGATTTCCAGCCTTCCTGATTGCAGAGGCAAAGCATCCAAACCTTTCCTTAGACCCACTGCTTGAATCTCTTTTGTCCCACACTGACCACATTTGGCCTCCTA